AAACCCACCCTACAAACTCAATCCATCTCTTACTGTGTCCACACAAAATAACTACTGTTAAAAAATAGAATTAAGATGTTAATTAAGATGTTATTTAAGTTATAGGACAAAGGAGAAGAGAAACACCCCTAGGTGGTATTTCAGCCCTTGAGCTTGATGGGCCGTCAGGAAGGCCTTCCTTTTGTTGATTTTGCTACTGGACTGGACTGGGTGTAGCTTTGGTCAAGAGTGCTAGGAAGAGAAAGGAGGGAGTTGGGGAAAGAAGAGAGAGTTGGAGGAGAAGATAGGAGGGGAGGGGAGGGGAGGGGAGGAGAGGAGAGGAGAAAAGAGAAGAGGAGAGGAGAAAAGAGAAGAGGAGAGGAGAGGAGAGGGAGCAAGATGAACTGCGGGTAGATAGAGCAGGGAGAGACTAAAAATGGGGTCAGAGAGAGCCGGATGTAGAAGAATACAGGAGCAGGCCAGTGGAGAGAGAGCCCAGGCTTCAAGATGGAGCACAGAGAGATGAATGGGAGAGACAGGAATGAGGAGCACTGTGAGAGTAGAATGGGGGGCTCAGAAAGACTGGAACAGGCACATGGGGTGAATGGAATAAACAGCTTCTGATCAATTTGCTTGACCCTGTTTTCTCCTCCGTCTGCCCCACAGCATGGGCCACCCCCCAACCCTGGCAGCGATGGGGGGGGGGGAGGCTCTCCCCATAGCTGTCCCCAGAGATTACAGTATGATAGTAATTTTAACGGAGAAACCTGACATAAGCCTCTAAGACGTTGAGGCAATTTCTTAAATGAGGCATAAAATGAAACTCCCGTCTCAGTGCTATCTTTTCCGAGGAAAGGGCAGAATTCATGGAAAGATGCAGGATTGAGAACGGAAGAACTGAAAACATTTGTGGCTCTGGCTCCCTTTCTCAGATGTCTCAAGACAGAAACCACTCAAAGCTCCCAGCCAGCAACTGCGTTCAGCTGAAGCCCTGAGACTGGCGAGCAGAGGGCATTCTTGTGAGTGCTATATAATGCAAGTCTCCATGTAAATGTCACCTTTATAATCTGCACAGCGAAAAAAATTAGTGTGACCTCAAATGAAACACTGGAAGTGCAACTTTGCATTCTGTTCATTATCCCTTCAGAAACTAGTGCTTCTCTGTCCCACACAGGTAACAGTAGGAGAAAATGCAAAGTTCTCCCCCCAATGCATCCAGCAAACTCTTTACCCTGCAACGTAAGGCAAGGGAAAGAGGCTGAAGGGATAATAATACTGTCAGGGCACTAGTCTTGCACTAGGCCGAACCGGAGGTTGCGGGGCGGGGCGGGGGATTCGATCCCCCATACCACATATTGAGCTGTGCCAGGAGTGCTTCCGGGGCGCGGAGCTAAAAGGAAGCCCCGAGCATCTCTGGGCGGGGGCCAAACAAAAATAAACGTCACCAAGGAGAATGGCAAGCGAAAAGTCGGGTGGCCCGGAAGGACCAAACTTAATCGCCCGCGTGTGCAGGCGTCACTAGGTCTTTTTTCCTGCTGCGGAGCTCAACCGGAGCAGCGCTGTGACTCAGGACCGAAGCGCGTCCTCCAAATGGAAGCGAACTGGACGGGCCCACTACGTGGCTGTGGGGTTTGCGGGGACCCGCTTGGCTAGTGTGTGTGGAAACAGAGTTGCCTCGGCAACGCCGGGTCCACTCCCCCCCCCCGCGGTTCGTAGGTTCCGTCGGACGGGAGGTGACGTCATTTCTACGCGCGCCAATCACAATACGCCGAGGGGGTCAGCGCTTCAAATTTGAATCCTTCGACCGGTGCGAAAGTTGGGGGCCCTCCGGAGACGTTTGTGGAGGGGCTTCCGGGACCACCAGTCACAAGTAAGCGCCAGTTCCGGGGGGCGGGGGGGCCTCGGCCTAGCCCGGCGCGTCGCCCAAGGTACGAGGTCCCCCTCGAACTCCAGACCTACCACGGCCGGCTGTAGCGCCCCAGTCGTCGACCTCCTTGGCCAGCGCTTCCTTTCGTGCCTTACCGGCATTTGGTGTCACCTCTAACTCATTCATTAATTCACGCGGCGCGTCAGCGGAGAGACCAGTTCCCTTTTGCGCCCCAGATGGTGCTGACCAAACTTTCCTTCACCTGACCCTGTGGCACTGCCGGGGAGAACTACCAGGAGCTCAGCTAGGAACGCGGGATCCACCTGACTGAAACCGAGTCTTTCGTGCTTCAGGGCGGATTGCATTTTCAGACGTTAATTTGTGTGGCGGAGCCGGGCGTTCTATCCTTCAGAGAGAAAATACCGGCGACTTGTTTGGTACGCCTTGGTAAGTTTTCACTTTTTTTTTTCCTTTTTAACCTTTGCTCATGCTCCTGCGTGGATTTCCTTCTGAGAACTGCTGTTGCACTCCCTGTTCTACGTTGTGTTAAAATTTCAATCGGTCGTGCCTCCTCTCCACAGTGTGTGCGCAAATGGTCATTAATAACCAATATAAATATTATACATATGTGTGTATACACACAAAGAGGGAGAGAGATATGCAATCATCTCTATGTAGCAGATTTCCGATGTAAGAATTCGATATTCGATAATGTAGATTTCGACATAAGTACTATACGCATGTGTGTACACACACACACACACACACAGAGAAAGAGAGTCGCGATCATCCCTGTAGATTACCTAATCTCTTGGGCATGATAAATTGTAGCTCCTTCCCCACCGTGCCTCATAATGTCTAAGAATTTGGGCTTTAAGGCAGATGCTTCACTACATAATCAGTCGTAGCATATCCTCTGACATAGTGTGCGTGGTGGGGAAGGGCAAAAAAAATAATAATAGTGAATTGGATGCTGCTGTTATGTGGTGCTTTATCACTGAAAAAAGATTGTGTCACTTAAGGGGCTTAGGGATTGTGCCAGAGGAGGCTTCTGTAGCAAGAGAGCTTGGGTCCTGCTCCCACTCAGTATCAGTGCGACTAGGGGCTTGATGCTTCACAGCCCTGTGACCTTCCCTGCTCTTCTTCAAAATGACACTTGGTAAGAGTTTCTCTAAGATGATGAACTTCCTACACATACAAAATACGGGCTATTAGCGTCACCTATGTTTGTATTCTTATATAGATGTTTCTGATAAGGGGCGGGGAGATGAGATGAATTTTTTTTCTCTTTTTGTTTTGTTTCGGGACCACACCCTTTGGTGCTCCTCTGAAGGGGTGTAAGATGGACATGCAGTGCTGATGACTGAATCCAGGACGTACCTGCATGCAAGGCAAGTGCCTTAACCCTAGAACTCTTTCTGCCTGAGGTGAAAATTTTTAATAGTATGCTTCTTTAATTTAAAACTTATCTTCATTAATTTGACGAGCATAAGGTGTTTCACTTAATTTTCACATCTTCATTTACTAGTAAAATCGAGAGGGCCAGAGCGATAGTACAGCAGATTGGGAGCTTTCCTTGCATAAAGCCGAACCTGGTTCAATCCCTGGGCACACATGCAGGGCAAGCTTCCTACGTGCTGTACTCTTGCTCTGACCCTGCCTTAAAATTTAAGTGTCTAACACTTGGGTGATGGTGAGGCCAGACAACTGATCTCATTATGTACATACAATGTTAACACCATTGTATGTACATAACTTTATATAAATTTTTTAAAAAATTGGTCATCGTTGGTCTGAAAGAAAGAAATAAAATAAATAAATGAAAGAAGAGATTACTGCATGAAAAGCAAGACAGTAAATTTTTAGAAAATTTAAGTGCTTGGCGGGAAAAGCCATAATCACAAAACAATCTTTTAAACTTCATAGTGTGTCAGGTGCAAATGTTACTTAGTATTTTTTTTTTAAATTAGTGAACCACCATGAGGTACAGTTATAGACTTACAAATTTTTGTGCTTGGGTTTCAGTTATACAATGATCAAGTACCCATGCCTCCACCAGCGCCCATCCTCCACCACCACGGGTCCCAGCATCCCTCCCACCCCCCATCCCCCATCTCCCCCATCCCACCCTGACTCTGTGACAAGGCATTCCCTTTTGTTCTCTCTCTCTCCTTTTGGGTCCTGTGGTTTGTAAGAGAGGCATTGAGTGGCAATCATGTTTGGTCTATAGTCTCCTTTCAGCATGCTTCTCCCACCCTGGGAGGATCCTCCCAACACCCTTTATTTGGTGCTCTCTTCTCTATCTGAGCTTCCTTTTCCTCCAAGTCATGGAGCAAAATTCCTGGTACTAATCTCAGCCGGCTGGAGCGATAGCACAGCGGGTAGGGCGTTCGCCTTACAAGCGGCCAACATGGCCGACCCGAGTTCGATTCCTCCACCCCTCTCGGAGAGCCTGGCAAGCTACCGAGAGTATTCGATATGCCAGACACAGTAACAACAAAGTCTCCAATGGAGACGTTACTGGGCCCGCTCGAGCAAATCGACGATCAACGGGAGGGCCTTTACTTACTTACTAATCTCAGCCATTCCTGGGTGTTAGTCTCCCTTTATGTTGCTTTATGTTCCCCAGATGAATGCAATCTTTCTGTGTCCATCCCGCTCTTTCTGACTTATTTCGCTTAACATGATACTTTCCATGTAGTACCACTTGTATGTGACTTACTTAGTATATTTTGATGCAAATATTATATTGAAACTTCCAGAACACGAAGTTCATTAAATTCAAAAGCAGATATTCACGTTTTAATTTTTAGAGCTATTAAGCCAATCATTTGGTAAATACTGAATGTTTTGTAGAGAAATGTGAAAACCAGACTATTCAACTCTTCAAACTTATGAAATGAGACTTAATAAAAATATAAAATCTCAGTCTAACTCGTGACTTTTAGGTTCCAGTGTTATGAATTAAATCTTTGAATTCTGATACAGAAGCAGGTAAACTTAAATTTTTTGTTACCAAAAGTTGATAATGATTGATCCCATGTTAAATTACAGGTTCATCTGGATTTCTTCCTGCTGAAGATCTGTCCTGAAAATTGAAGGGAATTGAATTTTCTCTTAGAGAAATTTCTGGCTTAAATAACAGTTTATCAAGATGATTGCTACACCCTTGAAACATACAGAATTTCACTTATCTTCAGAGACACCGTCTCATAGGAAAAATACGCCTATGCATGCAGTCCTATTTGATAACATTCCTTCAGGCACACTTACTCCTATGAAAGATTTGGTGAGATATCAGAACTCCTCTTCAAAATTGGTTAGCCATAAGAAGAACAAGTTCCTAGAAAAGAGAGATTTTGATAATAAAAGCAGACTACAATCAACCATGCTGGCAGAGGGCATCGCCTCCAACAGTTTTCTTGATATCAGTGTTATAAAACCCAACAGGGATGAATTAAAAAATAAAGCAAAATATGAAACACCAGAAAAAGCATTTCAAAGAATGAAAGAAAAAGTACTGCGTGAAAAGCAAGACCAACTATCCAGAAAGCAAGACCAAGTATCCAGAAATCATTTATTGAAGACACCAATAAGTGAAAATAATAAAATTATCACTCCTAATAAAGCTGAGAAAAGAATATTGCAGCATACCTACCTTTGTGAAGAAAAGGAGAACAGATCATTACAATCAGGTAATAGTTCTCTAAAAAGTTAGTTTTCCTAGGTGTTGGTTACAAAGATATGTTTTTATTGTGTCTGGTACTGTGTAACAGTGAGTGAAATGGACAACAGCCCTTCCCTCTACACTCAGGAGTGTGGAGGCATCATTAAATAGAGAGTTTATAATGATATAGTAGGTGAGAAGTGCTATAGAAAAAGAACAAGGATGATGGAAAGGGGAGATAGTAATTTTCAGTGAAGTGGTCAGGATATGTTAAACATAAAAGAACATTTAAACAAAATAATTTTTTCCTTTGGTACAAAATTTAAGTGACTTGCCAGTCCTTTTTGTATTTTGTATTCCAAAAACAAAATTTCAATTGTAATATAAAGCAGAATAAAATGCCCAGAAATACTGCTGTGATCACTTAATTACTACATTTCACTGTATAATTGTCACAGATTTTGTGTCTCCCCCCCCCCCCCCCAACCTCCCCAAAACATGGTGTATGACCATTAAAGGAGAATTTGGAGATGAGGTATGTGCTACTATTACTTAAAAATGGTGTGATTTTGCAGTGGTGATGATTATTTGAACAAATACAGCATGTCTTTGAAGACTTGCTAAAGAGATCAGAGAGGAGCCTGAAAGATGGCTCAGGGGACTGAGTATTGCTGAGTTCAGTCACCAGCACCATATTAATATAATCTGTATGTGATCTAATCTTTGCATATACACACATATGTGACTTACCGCAGTACCAGAATTTGCATTCTTGATCTCTGGACTTCTCAAACAGCTTTTTGTCCAGAGTTAGCAAGTTCTAACATGCAGTTTTTTTTTTTTTAACTCAGATAATGAGAAAGCAATGAAAACAAAAAGATAGTTAAGAGAAAGCTTTATGTAAACTGTCCTGTAATAAAAGTACTACATTGTCTGATCATTAATGAACCAGTCTTTATTTTAGTTTGAAAGAGGCCTTTTTTCTTCTCAATGGCTAATCCAACTTAATTTTCTTTTCTTTAAAAAAATATATATTAAATACCAACCTTACTCCAAAAAGTTCCTCTAGAACCATCAAGTAATTTCCTTTCTGCCAAGCAAAAGATTGAATGTCAACAGCAAAAAAAATCACCTCTTCATAATTTAACTTACGGTAAGCTGTTTTTTGTTTTAAGTTGTTTGAAGGTATGGTTAAATAGTTTGGTAATTATTTTTTCTGTGGAGTAAGCAGTGACTCTAGATAAATATTTAAGTCCTAAAAGCTAGAGAAACTCAGAGATAGAATGGGCAAGAAGATAGAGGAAGACTTCTTTCTCATAAGCTATTCTGTTTTCTTATGTTCCTTCTGTAAATTTTGTTTGGCTTTATATTTTTACAGAGCTTTCAAATCTGAACCCAGAACACGATAAAGTTTCGGCTGTAGGAGTTTCCAACAAGGCTTTAACTAGAGCTCAGTTTGCTAAACAAATTCTTCATTCAAAGGAGAACACAGTTGCAACCACTGAGCTCAAAAAGAATACATTTGTTTTAGAAAGTGTTGATTCTGTCTGTGAAAAATCCCCAAATAATACTGTTCAGACTCTGAACACTAATTCTGTTTCTGTGGAAAATGGAGTTGAATCAGTGGTTTCTGAAAGCAATGTGACAACAGAAGGGGTTTCACTACAGAAAATTATGAAAGAAAATGAGAAAAGAAAACCTGGGAAGACTGATCTTCCAAGTACTGTGAATGATACATGTAAAATTGTGCTTGCAAATCCAAGATGTAATATAAAAATTCCTGCAAAGTCAAAAAGAAATGCCGCACAGCTTTCTCCTCCAAGTATTATTACAAATGGAGTTACAAATAATAAGGTAGGAAGATTTTTAAAGCAGGTACTTATTTATTCTTACTCTCATTTTTCAAGAATTTGTGATTTTATGCTTTTGTTATTATTAGCAACAGCTTTATTTTCCTCTTTCATTATCATTTAACATATAGACAGTGTGGTCTAGTGAAAAGAACAGTGGGTTAAAGTAAAGAAGACCTCAGTGTTCTAGGTGTTAAGTCTTACTGTTATTAGTTGCATAGTCTTCAATAATTAGCTAAACTCTGAGGATGTGCGGAATTCATTCCTACTTTTAATTTTTTCCCTTCTGGTATTTAGGTTAACAGTAGATAAAAGAGAAAATAATTTAAAAACAAAAGATTTCAAAAGAGGCCAGAGAAATCTTACAGTTAGTAAGGTGCTGCTACCTTGCATGCAACTGACTGTGTGTTCAATCCCTGGCACCCCATATATAGTCCCCAGAGTCCTCCAGGAGTTATCCCTGAAAAGAGCCAGGAATAATTCCTGACTGCTGCGGGTTGTGACCTCCCCACAAAAAGAGAGAATGGGAGAGAGAAATTATAGCAGCTAAGATCTGAGTAATTTTCCTATTGTGTGGTAGTATAGAATGATGAAAAATAGGACATGGGCTATCAAATATGTTGCTTTTCTTTTTCTTTTTTCCTTTTAAGAGAATTTTTTTTTTTCAGCCATACCTGGCGATAGGGGCTGGAGCGATAGCACAGCGGGTAGGCCGTTTGCCTTGCGTGCAGCCAACATGGCCGACCCGAGTTTGATTCCTCTGCCCATCTCGGAGAGGCCGGCAAGCTACTGAGAGTATCTTGCCCACTCAGCAAAGCATAGCAAGCTACCTGTGACGTATTTGATATGCCAAACACAGTAACAAGTCTCACAATGTTACTGGGCCCAGTTGAGAAAATCGATGAACAATGGGAGGACAATGATAGTGACAGTGACCTGGCGATACTCAGGGGTTCCTCCTGGCTCTGCACTCAGGAATTACTCCTGGTGGTGCTAGGGAACTATATGAGATGCCGGGAATTAAACCCGGGTCGGCCACGAGCAAGGTAAATGCTCTCCCTGCTGTGCAATTGCTTCTGCCCCAAACTCATCATTGCTTTTTGAGGCCATTTTTTCCTTCCTTTTCTTTAAAATCACCTCATCCCTCTCTCCAGCTTCTTTGAAGCACAATTGGCCACTCTATCTCCTCCTGTATCTGATACAAACTTTTAGTCATTTTGACACTGATTGCTATTACTTCTGCTGTTCTGGCAACACTAATACCCATATAGATGATTCATTTTATTTCCTTAAATTCTTGACTTACAGTGACTTTTCCCCCCTGCATCTTAATTTATAACCATACCAGTCTTTGCCAGTATGTGTACCAAATTCTCACTTCCAGGTATCCTACATTCTCATTACTACCTCTTATCGTTCCAGATCTTTCCATTTTCAGTGCTTTTCTCCCACTCTCACCATCAGTACTGTAGTCCACTAAGATAGTTTTTCCCTCATTTTTCTTTTAACTTTACATTGATTCTATGATTAGTCATAACCATTTCCTTGACTGAATTTGCAATTCTATTTCTTGTCTTTACCTCATTCTTTCTCTGACAAAATGATAACCTTAGTTACATTTTACTCTTCTTTTGCTAATTACCCATACCTAAGAAGCAGGAGATGGCTGAAACAAAACACAACTTTGCTGACTGGTTTCATTTTTAATTTGACAACAGGTCTTGAGTAGATGCTCAGTACTGCCCATCAGCCCTGCTATATTTCACTTGTCCGTCTGTTCCATATTCTGACTCCTAAAAGTGTATGGTACCACTTTTTATTTCTTAAATCCTTGAAAACTTTTCTTTTCTCCTGATTCTTGGTTAATTGGGAACTTATCTTGTCATCACCAAATCTACTAATATTCTTTCTGGTTATCTTCATGTTCTGCTTTTCCTTCAGTTAAAATGGATAAGGGATTTGTGCTCCTTCTCAAGGTAAGTTTGTTTCTTCTTACCACAAAAGAACCCCTCCTCCCATTATCTGTACAATTTTTTTCTCTTCTCTAGATCTATTCACATCTATACATGCTGTAATTTAGCCCACAATTTAAAAAAGAGATGAACATAGTCTACCTTCTTTTCATTTACTAGTCTATTTTAGCTGCCATCATTTCATTTTTTGTTTGAATAGCAAAGCACCCTGAAACCGTATATTTGCCATTTTCAATAATTCATTTCTTCTTTCTTAAACATGTTCCTCTTTGGGCATACTTCATAAAAATTGCTCTTTTCAGATTCAAAAATGATCTTTTTAATCACAAAACCCAATGATTATTATTATTTTGTTGCACTCACAAGATTTAATCCTGTGAATCAAAATGTATTGTTTTTTAAAATATCCTTTTACTTTAGGAAATCTTTCTTCCAGTTTTCAAACACCATTCAACTATAATTTTCAACAGTCTTTCTGTCTCCATTGCTGCTGTATATGTTGATGTTCCTCAGAATCAATCTTGGAAGTTAATTCTGCATATCTGCACACTATTTATCAGTGTTTCTCAAACTTTTTAAAACTGTGACCCCTGTCTAACTTTATCTCCTTTCATGTTATCTCCCCTGTTGGCCTCCTAGTCTCACCCATTTATGTGATTTTGATCTGTTGTCCCCTTGGAATATTGTGGGGGTCATGTAGCCTGTGGCAGCTGATTTAGAATCTGTTATCCAGTGCCTTAGCTTTAAATTGTTTCTCCGCTGATAACTCCCAAATATATATTTCTAGCTCAGAACATTCTCCCAAACTTCATTTTAACAATATGTATGACTTCTTTCTTCATATCTGATAGCATCTAAAATTTACTGTGTCTGAAACTTTTTTCTTTCCGAGTGTCAGGGTTGGAATGCAAATCTCAGGTATGTAAGACTGATACTTTGTTGCTGAACCACATCCCAGGCCCAATGTGACCAATATTTGATTTTCTTTTCATAAATTTTGTGTCCTGTATCAGTACATAGTAATATTACACCAAATATTTAGATAAAAACTTTCATATTCCTTTTATGAATTAAAGGAATAAATCTCCAATAGTTAGATATTTATATGTGACCTTTTTTGTAATTGCTACTTAAATGCAATTCTTTTATAAATAAATATTAGGGAGTTATATGAATTTTTAATGTAAATTGATTATTGTGCTTATTCAGTAATAACAGGAAATATATGCTTTATTTTATGCTTGATTAGGTAGTCCAGCTAAAAGAATGGATAATTAAAGTCATCAATAATAACACTGCTATATGTGTAGAAGGAAGATTAATGTAAGTATAGCATTTCATTATTTAATAAAATTTATAATAAGATACTTATGTGTAAAAGCTTGAAAGGAGATCAATACTTGAGAAATAGTATATTCCATCAGACTTTCTAAGAGGGTTCCAAACCTACACCAAAACCAAAAATCAGGGGCCAACAATCAACAATCAAATATGCAGATCTTTGTTATGTTGATGGTAACCAATTTTCTTGATTTTATCTGTCAACTCAGATTATTTTAAAAGTAGTGTCTCAAAAGGTCTGAGGGATAAAACAATAGGTAGTAGGGCATTTGTCTTGCATGGTATTAACACCTGCACTGTATATGGTCTCCTGAACCCTTCAAGGAGTATCCTTGAGCACAGAGTCTAGAGTAAGCCCTGAACACTGCCAGTTGTGATCTGAAAACATAAAAGAAAATTAGTATCTCAATTATGTATACATCATATTTTTTTCAAAAAAGCCCTAATAACTGGACTGATTTTGTTTATTTATGACACAGTTAATATTTACTATTATGTATTTCAGTTCATAGTAGTTTCACATTTAAATTGGGACAACTAATTTAATGCTACTGATCCAGAAAGAATGAAAACTTTCTTTCTTTTTTGAGGCCTCATCCGTCTTTTTATTTTATTTTATTTATTTTTTAATTTTTATTAGTAAGACACCATGAGGTACAGTCGTAGACTTACAAATTTTGTGTTTGGGTTTCAATTATACAATGATCAAATACCCATCCCTCCACCAGTGCCCATTTCCCACCACCATGGATCCCAGTATCCCTGCCACCCCCCACCCCCACATCCCACCCTGCCTCTGTGGCAGGGCAAGAATGAAAACTTTTTAAAAATTTTTCTATGGCAGTTACATATTTAATTATCATTGGTATTCTCCCTAAGGCAGGAGAGCCAAGGATCAAATCAGGTAATGGGGATCAAATACATACAGCCATGTGGACTGCATATATGTCATGTAGCACTGTACTGTTTCTCTGTTTCCAACCATTCTTTTAGAATGCTTTTTCAATGTTTGTTAAATAAAATAAATTTGAAAAGAAGAGAAGTAATATTTTTTTTTTACCCGTGACATATTCGATTTGCCAAACACATAACAACAAGTCTCACGATGGAGACGTTACTGGGCCCGCTCGAGCAAATCGAGGAACAATGGGAGGACAGTGCTACGGTGCAGTGCTAAACAAGTTTAATTCCAGTAGGCCATATTTAACTTAACTTCCTTCTTATGCTTATATTTTAGTAAGTTTAATATTACTTGCTGAATTAGATGTCTAAATTTGTCTAATACATCTTCATGTTCTTTCTGTCTTATGTTTATTCTTAGCTTCATGTAAGAAAGTGTGAAGATTTAGATTTATGGGTCAGTGATTTGATACTGCAGTTTGTTTTTCCCAACTGGGCCCTCTTTTGGTACTTTCCAAAGAGGAAGATAAAAACAGTTCACTGTATAATGAGGATTGAAAATGCAAGATTGGTTGGATTCAAACTACATAACTGCATGAAACTAAAAATATAGGCCTTGAGAAGAGGGATGGGAAAAATTATTCTCTGAATGCTTCACATTAGTTAAATTGGAGTGGCAAGCATTATGAAAAACCAGGTATTTTGAGAAGCCTGCTTTTTACTAATGATATAGTTTATAGTAGGGCATATGGTTTGGCTACAGTCTGATCTTTTGGCACATACCCTTATGGGTCAGTTAGCTATGGTCATTTACTAAATTATTAGGCTTTACTAGGTTTGCTGCAGTATTTAACCCTCAAATGTTTGGTAATGGTAATTAGAATAGTACTGTACTGTTATTGTAGATTATGAATATATAACTTCTTGTTATAAATGCATACATTTATGTATATTGTACTGTGGTGATACTCCATATATGATGTAAATTTATATATAATAGCTATTTGTGGGTTAACTAAGCTATTCTTCCTCTTCTAGAGACATCACTGACATGTATTGGCACAGTAATGCTATTATAGAACGAATTGAGTACAACAAAGTTAGGACTCTTTCTGGCAATATTTATATATTAAAAGGAATCATAGACAAGAATGCCATGAGAGAAGAAGGTAATGACTGTTAATATTATTGTTAAATTTGAGGGGGATTCATATCTGGCAGTAGAGTGCTTTTTATTTTAATAGGAGCTGTTCCTGGAAGTGCTGGGGGGCTACCAAAGCTATACCCAGCAGTGTTTGAGGGGCCAATCCAGTGCCAGGGATCAGTGAAGGACCTTGTAACATGTTAGGCTTGTGGTGTCCATTTGAACTATCATCTTAATCTCAATACTTTTTTTTTATTAAATCACAGTGATATGCACAGTTACAAAGCTGTTCATGATTGAATTTCAGTCATATAATATTCCAATACCCATCCCTTCAAAAAGTACTTTTCCCACCACCAATGGTCCCAGTTTCCTTTCCCCCTTTCCTCTCTCCCCCCCACCCCCACATATTTCTTTTAGTTTGAGTTTTTTTTTTGGGGGGGGGCGGGGTGTTATACCCAGTGATGCACAGAGGTTACTCCTGGCTTTGCACTCAGGAATTACTCCTGGTGGTGCTCAGGGGACCATATGGGATGCTGGAAATCGAATCTGGGTCGACCTCGTGCAAGTCAAACACCCTACCCGCTGTGCTATCATTCCAGCCTCCCCTACCGTCTACTTCTATGGCAGGAAATTTTCTTCTCTCTCTCTCTCTCTCTCTCTCTCTCTCTCTCTCTCTCTCTTTCTCTCTCTGTCTCTTTCTCCTTCCCCTCCTCTTTTACCCTCTTTCTCCCTCTCTCTCCCATTCCCTTTCTGTCTCCCTCTCTCTCCCTTTCTCCATCTCTCTCCCTCTCTCTCTCCCTCTCTCTCATCCTCTCTCCCCTTTTGGGCTTTATGCGTCAGTGTTGGTCCCTAGTCCCTTCTCTATCCTAACTACATTTTGCCACACACCACACTCTTGCGGCAAGCTTCCATGGCTTATTGGTAGTCATAAATGTAGCATGCTAAGGAATATTATTCTGTAGCCACATTCAGTATAGACAGAAAATGAAATTATACAAGACAAGATTGTGCCAGACAAGTTCAACAGAGAAACATACTAAGGAGTTAACATTTGCAAAATCAATTGCTCACAAATAATGTACTGAATTTCTTTTTTAAAAGATAGTACCCAGGTGCTGGGGACATAACTCTAAGAACTAGAGTAACATGCCTTGCACATATGAAGTCCTGAGTCTGAATCCTGACTGCCAAGCACTGCTGGGTATGAGCAGCATTGCATCACAGAACCTGGGTGTTCAGACAAGCCATCAGTTCATCTGACCAACACAGCAAGTGGCACCCAGGACTTTTGAACACTGTTTTGGAGACCTTTAAAACCCAAACAGTCCCCTAGCCCCCAAAAATAGCCAACAGAAGACTATTATTTTTAGTTCAATTTATAATATTTAAGAGCCTTATTAAAAGTAAATATTGTATCTTCTATTTCAAGTTTTCAAGTAAGTCAGATTAAAGAGGACAAACACTGGGTGATTTCACTTATCGGTGGTAGAACAGAATACAAGGTATTAAAGGGGTTAAAACTAGATAACCTTTGGCCTTAGAGTACAGTAAGAAGGACAAGCAAAGAAAGAAATCAAGTAATGGTCTTTTAGTTCTACTTGGTATTGTATCATATTTCCCTAATTTGTCCATTCTTCTATCCTCCTTTCCCTATTTCTATTGGCACCTTGCCAAGAGTACTGGGGCTACTCTTGGTGTTACTCAGCTCAGCATTGCTATCCTGGCATTTCAGTGCTCAGGCCAGAGATGCAGCTATTCTTGACTTGGGTCTTGAAGGTGAACTCTGCCATAGCCTCCCAAGTGGTATTTGGGGACCATGCTGTGGTGGGGATCTAACTCAGGGCTATCTAACTTGACTATCATGCTGGCATGGCTTTGAGCCATCTCCTAGCCCAGCGATTCTATACTTTAATAAATCTTTAATACCTCCCCTGCTCTTTAGGTGATAGGGGATTTTTGTTAATTACTGAATCCTCAATATCTATGACAATAACTTACATTCATTAAGTTATTCAAAAGCACTTGGTATACCAAGTATGTGCTTTTGAATAACTTAATGAATGACATCTTAATAACACTGTAACACTGTCCTCCTGTTGTTCATTGATTTGCTCAAGCGGGCCCAGTAATGTCTCCATTTTGTTGTTACTGTGTTTGGCATATCGAATACATCATGGGTAGCTTGTCAGGCTTTGTCGTGCGGGCGAGATACTCTTGGTAGCTTGCCAGGCTCTCCGAGAGGGGTGGAGAAATCAAACCCAGCTTGGCCGGGCTGGCTGCGCACAAGGCAAATGCCCTACCGCTGTGCTATTGCTCCAGCCCAACATCTTAATATTTCAGTTTTTTTTTTTAATTTACCTTTATCCAATGCCAGACACAGTAACAACAAAGTCTCCAATGGAGACGTTACTGGGCCCGCTCGAGCAAATCGACGATCAACGGGAGGGCCTTTACCTTTACCTTTACCTTACCTTTATCCAATGGAGACGTTACTGGGCCCGCTCGAGCAAATCGACGATCAATGGGAGGGCCTTTACCTTTACCTTTTACCTTTATAGGATATCCAAATTATCTAATAAGGAAGTTTATGTTTGGATTTCCAGAAAAATGGGAAGAGTACGTTGATAATTTTCTAGGAAAATTAAGGTAAGATACTTTCTAACTTTAAAAAAAAAACACTATAGGGGCTGCAGAGTAAGTACAGGGATTGAGGTGTTGGCTGCCTTGCACATGGCTGACCCCATATTTGGCCTCTGGCTCCACATAGGATCCCCTAAGAACAGCTAAGTGTGGCTAAATAAAAATAATATATATTAAAGTATAACATTTTATAAGATATGCATTTCAGATGTGAAGTTTTATATTTTACAAATAATATATTTACTCATGTATATAAATAAAGTAACTTTAATTTTGAAAATATCAGTTTAAAATTTTTGTATCTGTTCCTTTCATTTGTTCTCTTAGTGGTTACTGAGTGCCCTTTGCTTAGCACACAGTGTCCATAGAGGGAAACCAAAAAATTTGGTTAATTCCTGCTTTCAAGGAATTTGGGGAATGCAATGATGTAAATTAATTATAGTTCAATATAATAAATTATAGTTTTATCGGAGGGAGGCCATACCTGGTTCTGTTCAGGATTTAGTTGTACTGTATGCTTAGATATCATTTGTGGTCATTCTGAAGACCATATTCTATACTTTGCTAGGTTCAAATCCAGTCTGCTGAATGCAGGATAAGTGCCTTACTCACTGTACTATCTGAACTAGAAGTGAATTTTATTTTTTCCCCCTGTATTACTATCTGGGCCAGATAGTATTTTTACGGACATGCTGAATATTCAGCTTTACATTTGTAGTGAAAAGGAAAGCTTAGACAGCACTTAAAAGAAAAAAATGTGCTTTCACTACTCTTTCACAAAAATAAAACAACTGGTAGAATTTGCCCTTTAATTTTCCTTATTACCCTAAATTATGAAATAACAGTAGAAGCACTTAAAAGGTTTTATTTTAATCCTTTTACTTAATAATACCATACTTTAGTTATTTCTGGGGTAAGAGAAACATGCCATAATGATGAAAATAGTATAAGATTAGGGGTCAGAGGGACAGTATAGCAGGTAAGTTTGCTGTACTACTGTCTTGCCTTGCATGTGGTCACCCTGGTTTCAATCCCTAGCATTTCATATAGTCCTCTGACCCCCACCAGGATTGATCCCTAAGCACAGAGCCAGAAGTACGGACTGCTGGGTGTAGCCCAGAATTTTCAGGAAATTTCATTATTTACTTGTGGGGTTTCTTATTTATTTTTTTGATAATTAGTATCAGAGGAAGAATACTAAATTTGTTTTTAGGATGTGTGAAAAGAAAGGAGGAAAGACACAACAAAAGCAGAAAACTGGAAGATTTGTTTCTGACACTCGGGAATCAGTGAAAAATGGGACAGGAGAAAACCAATCAGCTGTGCTCCAGAGAGCCCACACCACTTATGATCTTGATTGTGATCATTTGGGTATGTCTGCTCTATTGTTCTCTGTTGGCATAGTGATAAATTTTGTTTTCATTTTAGGCACTGTGATTTACAGCATTGTTAATGATAGGGTTTCATGCATATGTATGTTTCAAGACCACACTGTCCACCAGAGTTCCCTTCCCCAAGGCAAATGCCCTACCTGGTGTGCTATTGCTCCAGTCCCAATTTCATCTTTTCTTATAGTTGAGTAGCATTTCATTGTGTATGGACTCTGTGCCAGGCTGTTTTCACTCGCCCCAGAGCAGGGTGCGTAAGAACCCTCCTACCCCAAGGGACCCAGCCCCGGTAGCCAACCTCCACTTCCCAACCGCCGCTGCGCTCCAGGCCACTTTCCAGACCACACGGCCGCTTCCTACCCATTTTCCATAAATACCACACCATGTTTGATGGAGTTCAGACAGTAGACAAAAATTACATATATATATGCCTCTCAGAGAGCCTGGCAAGCCACAGAGAGTATCCTGCCCACATGGGCAGAGCCTGGCAAGTTCCTCGTGGCATATTGAGTATGCCAAAACCAGTAACTATAGCAGATATCTTTCCCCTGACCCTGAAAGAGCCACCAGTCTTAAAGACAAGTAAGGAGAAGCTGCTAAAATATCAGGGATGGGACGAATAGAGACGTTACTGACGGCCGCTCAAGTAAATCGACAAACAACTGGATGATGATGACGGTGACAGTGACCATAGTTTCTTTATCCAGTTATCTGTTCTTGGACACTTGAGTTATTTTTGGATTATATAACTCAAGTAGACGCTGGGTGAGCATATACTTACACTGTATATAATGTAATTGGATTTTACTCAAACTTTTAATTACCATGGGTTTAATTATGGTTGTATTACATAAGCTAACAGAAAAGAAGAATTCCATATACATGATGAAATACAAGAGAAACAGAATTAATAGCTTTCTGTTTAGTTGATGTGCAGTTAGGATGAACATGGGTTAACCTTACTATTTTGATTTAGAGGTGACAAAGGAGATGAGATCCAGAATATATTAATGCAACATATGACTAAACTGTTTTGTTTTTTAAGAGAATGAAAGTGATTTTAACAAAAACATGCAGAGTGGTCCTTTCCAAATAAAATTACTTTATATTGTAGTCAAATTGTAAACACTGTTTGTGGCATCAGATTGGATACTTTGTTACTCTAAAAATTTTAATGTGGAAAAGCAGTTTGTTTTTTATATAATTACTTTATTTTTATGTTTATAGAACAGAAGAATTGTATGCCAAGTAGGTTGCCAGGAAGTCCAGAATTAAATGTTTGCTGTAAAAATCATCAGACTAAACCAGTAATGCTCTTGGGTGATCAGATCAATAATACTGTTCAAAATAGAGAAGAATATGACTTATCTGATCAGGTAAGGTTTTATAGTGTTTCCTAGTAAAGGATTATTTGTCAACTACTGAGAGAGGTTGCACATATTAAATCAGTAATGGACATGTATAGGATAGTGACCTATCTGATGCTTCTAAAGCTTATACTTTGGTAAATGCCTTTCTGATTGATTCCACTAAAGAGATTTGTAGAACCACAAGTCCCTAGAAATTTCATTGCTTGAAGCATACTATGAAGACACATTGGATCATGTTTATAGATAGTTGTTAAAATTAAGTTACCTTTTTTTTTTGAAGGAATTACTTAGGAAAAAGAAATCTCAAACTTTGTCTTCAAATAAACTCAGAAATCATGAAAGAAAAACAGATGAAAGGATAATTAAAAGTCAGAGGCAAGGTAATATATTTTAACTGGTTTTGTAAAAAAGCTAAATGATACTATATGATACTTTGGGGATGGGGATGGCGTGCCAGGACCTCACAGATGTATGACATGTGCTCAGCCAATGAACTATATAGCTCTGGACCCTAACGAGTATTGGTTCTTTGTTCAAATAGTGGAACAGAAGCATTCTTATATACACTGCTTCTGTGTTTATTAACTAGAATTGTAATATTCCTTTCTAGTAGATATAAATATTAGTGAATATTTGTAAATGTAAATTTTATATAACAATGCCAGTCATATTGTGTGATACTCTGATATCGGCCATCAAAAAAGGAGTCTATTTTGACTTTTCTGATAATATTGCTGGATTTATTTTAATTTTCTTTTTTATCTTTTACTCTTTAATTTTTTTTTTTACTTTACCTCCAAAAGCCCTTAGGGGCTTTCTCTTCTTCTTGCTCTTTTTCTCTTGAACGTATATCTCACCTATTTCTTTGCTTGCTTTTTTCCACTCTGGAGAAGCCTGTGTTCTCTCTTGAACACGTTTCTCCTTTTTATCTCATGTCTCTCTAAGCAAGTTTCATTTGATAAAGACTACCTTATTTCATTAGAGACCCGAGTGATATTATAGGAAGTGGGGCATTTGACTTACACACAGCTGACCTAGGTTGGATCCCTGGCATCCTATATGGTCTCTGGAGCACTGCCAGGAGTAATTCCTGAGTGTAAATCCGTGAGTAAGCCTTGAGCATTGCTGGAAGTGACCCAGCCCCCAATTCTACCCCCACCAAAAAAACTATCTTCATTAAAAAATTTTTTTACTTAAAAAATTTTCCAGGAAGAGAGGTCTATAAATTAAATACAAGATTATATATCAAAAATCTGAACTTGTGAAAGTCAACAAAAGGTTTGTTTCTATGAACCACCACATAATTGACCTCATTTTATTCCCTATTCCCTTTTCCTTTACTTGTCATATTGTTCTCATAGTTTAAGTTTGTTTTTGTTTAGTTTTCTTAATCTTCTACATATAGGTATAGTCATAAGTTATTTCTCTTTCTCTATCAGACTTAATTCACTTAGTATACCATTCATGTGTTGGAAACTCCAAGATTTCATCTTTTTTATAGATCAGCAGTATAGCAGAATGTATGTATTTCACACTTTTTTTTTAAAAAAAATCAATTCATCCTTTAATGAGCACTGGGTTGTTTTCAAATTTTGACTATGGAAAATAATGATGCACATTTATCAGTTCAAATTAGCATTTTCTTATCCTATTTTAATAAAGTTAATCTTGGAAATTTCTAAATGTAAATGGCTAATTATTATAATGATTTTTGCATTTTTAGAAGATTATTTGGGCTGGAGCGATAGCACAGCGGGTAGGGCGTTCGCCTTACAAGCGGCCAACATGGCCGACCCGAGTTCGATTCCTCCGCCCCTCTCGGAGAGCCCGGCAAGCTACCGAGAGTATTCGATAATGCCAGACACAGTAACAACAAAGTCTCCAATGGAGACGTTACTGGGCCCGCTCGAGCAAATCCACGATCAACGGGAAGGCCTTGCATAAGAAAATAGTCTATTGCTTTAAATGTCAGATTTAATTAGAAGTTTGCCTCATTTAGGTACTAAATAATTTTTAAATCATGAAATCATTCACTTTACATTATTATAGAAATGTTTAAAGATTAATTTTTCATGAAATAAATAACATAGTTTAGTTTGGTGTTAGATTTTTCAGGGACAGCTCAATGGGCTGGAGTGAAAACTCTATATTCAGGAGTCTCAGATTGATCCTTTGTACACTGCTGTGTGTGATCCCAAAACAAATTTTAAAAATGTAAATTTTCAGAATGATCTCATTGAAATACTATCTACCAGAATTTAATGTCTCTACACATTAGCAAGTTTTAAGTTTTATTTTGATCTAAACCTATCAATTTAAAAGCATTAAAAAAAATGTCTTATATAAGTTAAAATCCAGTGAAAATGGAGCATGGACATAGTTCATGTTTTACATGCTTTACCTCTGGGGTGCAGGATTCAAAGCTTGGCACTTCATGGTCCTCTGAGCATGACTAGGTATGGTCCAAGAGCAAATTTTTAAAAGAAATTAAAATGAACATTTTTATAAACATTTAAAGATGCAGTGGGGTAAACAATATGAGCATTTCTCAGGAAAACTAGGAATTAAAATTCCAAATGACCAAGTAGTTCTGCTCCTGGGAATATGGGGATATATGGCCCCAAAGTATCTGCAGTAGTGTGTTCATTGCAGCACTGTTCACAATAGCCCAAATCTGGAAACAACTCAAGTGCCATAGAATGATCAAATGGATACATACCCAGGATACATCTACACAATGGAATACTATGCAGCTGTTAGGAAAAAAAAATGAAGTCATGAAATTAATTTTTGCTGATATATGGATGAATATGGAGAATATTATGCTGAATGAAATAAGTCAGAGGGAGAGGAACACACATTGAGTGATCACACTCATTTTCGTGATAAAAAGAAACATAGTGGGAAAATAATACCCAAAGACAATAGAAATGAAGGGCAAGAAGAACTAGTCCTTAGGAGCTTGCCACAATGGGGTGAGGGTAGTTAGGTCAGAAAAGGACCACTATAACAATGATAGAGGGAAGTGATCACTCTGTACAAGAACTGAATACTGAAAGAAGATGAAGTGATATTCATGATATCCTTTCAATAACATTAGTACAAACCATAGTACCTGAAAGTAAAAGAAAAAAAAAGAAGAAGAAAAATGTCTGCCATAGGAGCAGGCTGTGGGGTAGGAAAGAACTGGGGACATTGGTGGAGAGAAGGGAGAGAAGTGGACACTGGTGGGTGGATGGATGCTAGAACACTGACTGAAACTCGGTCACAAACAACTCTGTATCTCATGGTGATTCAGTGAATTTAAAAAGAAAGTAATAGAGGGGCTAGGGAGATAGTACAGCAAGTAACACACATGTCTTGCACATATGTGACCCGGTTCAATCTCCTGCACTTTATATAATCTTCTGAGACTGCCAGAGTGATCCCTGAACAAAGCCAGGAGTAAGCCCTTAGCACAGCCCCAAAACAAAATACAGGGGAGAGCAGTATTACTCAGAACACGGCTTTTAAAACTGTGGGTCACAGCCACATGTGTTCCCATCCTTTTAAAAATTTTGTTTTAAAACAAATTTATTATTCGTCAGTAAAGATTTAATTTGTATACCTAGTTTATATACCTCTATATACTGGGTCATAAATTTCTTGGGTAAAAAGGGTTGCTGGGGCCGGAGCGGTAGGACAGTGGGTAGGGCATTTGCCTTGCATACAGATGACCTGGATTTGATCCCCAGCATCCCATATGGTCCCCCAAGCACCGCCAGGAGTAATTCCTGAGTGCAGAGCCAGTAGTAATTTCTGAGAATTGCTGGGTGAGACCCAAAAAAAGCAAAAAAAAAGGGGGGAGTTGCTACTGGAAAGTTTAAGAAGCCCTGACTGAGACTACCACCTTATATGACTTGACAGTACACCGAATCTTTGCTCCAATCATTTAATAAAATGAACTAAAATATGTATAATAAAATATTTTAAATAAAATATTCGATAGTTTTCAGTGTTTTACTAAACTGACTTAGCTTTGATGACTTAAAGGACTGGAGGATTTAAAAATATATACTTCCTTTATAATATGAATATATGATTCATTGAGAAATCTTTTAGAAACTTTTCAAATACTTTTGAATATCGCTTCTCCAGATTATAGTTTAAGGGATTCTTTTTCCTTGAGTTTTATTACTACTCCCTCAGTCTTTTGTTGTTTATCCTACAAAATAGCACAAAATATATGTAGTAATTAGTTTATTAATACATTCTGCTCAATAGTGAGAATATCACGTATGCTGCTACAAGTAAGTTTGTGTGATGCCTTATAATTTTAAATATTTATAATTATAAGAGAATATCTTAAAATTGGAGATGAAATGTTTGTCTACTGGTTTTCTTAAGTGTCAAACTGGAAAATTTTATACTAATTTGCTTTTTTTAAACACTTGATAACAAAGATATCCATATTCCATTTGGGTTGTTGTCAAAGGCTGTTGAATGAAATTTTAGGGGATTTAGCAAAAGTGTGTCCCTTTGGCCAAGATGAATGAGTATAGGTCGTGCAGATGGAGTTCCTTTTTTTTGACTCTTTCCTTAACCCCTTTTAAAGAACATTTAAAAAATATTATGTATTAAATGTGTGGTAAGGCTTTCGCAGCCCCAGTTGTTCTTATATTTCTAAATATTTTACCTATGACCAATTGATTTAACCAATATTTATGTATAATTTAATCTATTGTGACTTTGCATTAACTTCAGCCCCTTCCCTGGTGGTGGTGGTAATGGGGATCCCAACAATTAAGGGATTGTTCTTCCAGTTGATTTAGTCTGTTAGTGATTGAAGAGAATTTTCCAGAATGAATTGTATTAATTAAACTTGAGTATTGAGAAAAAAATTGAGTAGCGTTGAGTTAATGGATAGAAAATATGGTCAGGTTTGAGTACAGTTTTAGATTAGAATAACATAAAAGGCCAGATGGTGGAACTTTTGTGTACTCAAAATATGCTGTGGGAAGTCATGGGCAGAGTGTATTAAAAAATAGTGTATGTTCACAGTTGAAGGGGCAGTGATTTGAACAGACAGATGCTTAGATTAATATGACATTAATGTTTACAGTGACACTTCTGGAGGATAAACAATATATTTGTGAAAAAAATTTTTTCCTCTTAATTTATTTTGTTTGTAGCTAATTTGAGATTTTGATCTTTGGTTTTGTTTTATGAAATTCAAGAGTACTCTGACGACTTAAATATGACCATGGATATTCTAACTTCAAGGGTACAGTGTTTCTCAGATAAAGGAAGGAAAGATTTGACTGTTAATCATAAGGAAGCTTATCTTTTAGTAACACCACTTAAATCTAAGAAGATGATAGAGCAAAAGTGCAGAAAGTATAATCTGTCCTCTAACACCATGAAAGCACTTACAGATTTTGTACTACAAAAAGACAACAAAAAGGAGCATCAAAATGAAAACAAATCAGACTTAAAAGAAACTGCAAGTTTGGTCAGTAAGTCCAAGACTCAAAACACATTTATGTATAGCATGGGACATAAACATAAAGATAAGGAAGAGAGCGGCATACGTGATATTCTCACTATTGAGCAGAATGTAACAATATCCTCTGATCAACGAAAAAATACAGTGTACTTATCAAAATCAGAGAAAACTGAAAATCAGTCTACTGAAGAGAGAGAAACTGAAAAGGAAATTCCAAGGAGAACTGGGGTTATTAAAACCAGAGAAAGGAGTAGCAAAAATACATATAAAGTTCACCTGAGAAACACAACACATGCTACAAAGAAAATCTCGGTGCTATCTGAATCTGAAACTGAAGAATGTGAAAATGAAGAACATATTAAACAAAAGAAAGCTAGATATTCTGCCAAAGAAACTCTTCAGAAATCTTGTATTACAAATACATTTCCAGTCAGTAAACTCACAAACTGTGATAAGACTAATAGACATTCCTTAGAATGTTCATCTGGTGTAAATCAGAATGAGAAATGGAATGAAAAGGAATTACAGAAACTTCATTGGTAAGTAATTGCATGCAACTCTGAATTATCTAGAAGACAAAAACTATAGTAAGTGGCTGATTCAGTTACTTCTAATGATATGAAAGATGTTCAAAAATACATGAAGGGAAGTTACAGTTTATACTGTAGGAAGGTTACACTTAACTTTTAACTAAATACCTATGTGGCCATCTTTAAGGCTTGTATATGAGGGAAGTGAAATAATCATTCTCGTTTAATATTTCAAGACAGCCCATATTTCTTTAAGGTAACTGATTGGATTTTTGGCTTCTTCCATTCAACTGAGTTTTCTCACTTCCTTAGCTCCTTCATTCTGTCCCCCCTCCGCCCCCCTCCCATTAATCTTTCTTTAAGTTTATTGAATTTCACTACCAATGATTTTCTCATTTCACTGAACACTGAGGATTTTCACTCTTAAGTCATCCATTGGGCAGATAAGAAAGTTCTGATGCTACGGGTGGGAGAGATAGTACAGTGGGTAGGACCCTTGTCTTGCATGTGGCAGACCCAGGTTCAATCCCCAGCATCCATGTGATCTAAGCATCACTGGGGGTGGCTCAGATCCCCCCCCCAGAAAAATTGTAACATAATTGATCTACATGACCCCCAAACATAACACTTTTATTTTTAATAAAAGTTTAAGATCAGGAATATGCAGGAATGAAGAGTTCCTCTTCCATTTGGAAGTAAGATAGATACTGGTTAAAATTTGAGCAATGGTGCAGAAAAGTTACTCATGCAAAATCAAATCATTAAACTTAAGGAAAAATGTTGGACGACTAAGAACGATTTTCCAGGTTTATTAGAATACCATAATGTTGATGGTATATACTAGACATATAAAATTGCATCTTCACATTTTAAGCGCTAATATTTGAGAGGGTTATCTTTCTAAACTAATTATCTAGGAGCCTGCTCTTCAAGCAGGTGTTCTCCTTTCGACACTTATTTTTCGTGCCTGCTTACTTGCTCTTTAAAGCTCCTATGGTCTCTTGAATATGTGTTTCTTTCCTTCTTTTTCCCCATTCCAGCCTGCTCCCACCTTCCCCCACCTCCCCCAACCCTCACAACTTAAGTTTCAGTCATTAAGAACTTGCTTCACCAGGCTGGGGCGACGGCGACAGCACAGTGGGTAGGGCATTTGCCTTGCACGCTGGTGGCCCAGGTTCAATTTCCAGCATCCCATATGGTCTCCCAAGCACCGCCAGGAACAATTCCTGATTTAGAGCCAGGAGTAACCCCTGTGCATTGCTGGGTGTGACCCAAAAAAAAAAACTTGCTTCACTAAAAAAAGTTACCTAGGATAGTTACTAGGGCTGGAGCGATAACAGCAGGTAGGGCTTCTGCCTTGCACGCGGCCAACCCGGTTTCGATTCCTCTGTCCCTCTCATCCCTGCAAGCTACCAAGAGTATCCCGCCCGCCGGCAGAGCCTGGCAAGCTCCCCGTGGCGTATTCAATATGCCAAAAAACAGTAACAACTAGTCTCACGTTACTGGTGCCCACTCGAACAAATCGATGAACAATGGGAGCACAGTGCTACAGTGCAGGATAATTTTATTAATTCCATCAACTCTGTAAATTCTCGTTTTATGTTATCCAATCAGGTTATTTTTATTGATTTGAATATTACTTTTTTGGTTTTGTTTTGTTTGGGGGCCACAATCAGCAGTGCTCAGGTCTTATTCCTGGGTTACTCATAGTTATCCCAGGCGGGCTCTGGGGACCTTATGGGGTGCCAAGGATCAGACCTGAGTCATCCACATGTAAGGCAAGCACCTTACCTCCTGTGCTATCCAGTCACAAGAATTTTTTTGTTCCTTAACTGGTTTTGTCCTTTGTAGTGCTATTGCATCTCTTCCAAAGCACAAACCTGGTTTCTGGTCAGATGTATCAAAGGCTGTAGGCTCTCGATCTGCTGGAGATTGCCAGAGGAAATACACCGAAGATTCCCAAAGAAAAGGATCGAAGAAACAAGTCACTGAGAAAAGGCCAGTCAACCTCAAGGGCCAAAAAGGTAACTTTTGTAGTCAATGTTTGTTTTCTAGTTGCAGCATCAATTTCTAATCATTTGCTAGATATATTTTGTATTTACACATGTCTTAATTATATGTATTTTCTTAAAAACTTTTTTTTTTTCTTTTTGGTTCACACACAGCGATGCACAGGAGTTACTCCTGGCTCGTGTACTCAGGAATTACTCCTGGCGGCGCTTGTGGGACCATATGGGATGCTAGGAATCGAACCCGGGTTGGTCGCATGCAAGGCAAACGCCCTACCCGCTGTACTATCGCTCCAGCCCCACTTAAAAAAATTTAAATTAGAATGAACATCACATCGTTGAGTAGTAACTGAAGCAACCTTGTGCTTTGAATATACTCTAGGAAATACATAGTTGGATTTATTCTGGTTCTGTTTTAATCTGAGGTCAGGATCCCCTTGTAATTTGTAAGAATACTCAGAATAAATTTAGATTTTGTATTCTCTAGGAACATATACTTCTGCCCAGAGTTTATGCTGAAGAATACTGTTTTAAGCTTTAGGAGTTTCCAATATTCCTTTAAGAAAGTTTTAGTTTTACTAAATTAGTGAAAGTAAAATCTGTGTTAGTAAAATCAGTGTTAGTAAAAGTGTTAGGGAATCTTTCTTATGAGGTAGACCTTTCCCACCTCATGCTGCCTATACTTACGTAGCTTCATTAATAAGTGAACTTATGAACAGCCTGTTTGCTCATCTTACTCTAACTTGTTACTTAGGAAACTCATAAATGTTATCAACAGAAAGAAGCTAAGTTTAATATGACTGTACAATTTAGATTTTGCAAATAAAAAAGGAACCCTTATAGGCAAACTATTATCAATAACCAAATCCTTATTGCCTTTGCTAACACAAAAGGCAAGAAAGCTGATGCTGATAAGAAGCAAACTATTGCGATAACTGCTAAAGTGGGAACACTTAAAAGGAAGCAGCAGATGAGGGATTTTCTGGAACATATGCCAAAAGATGACCGTGATGATTTTTTCAATGCAACTCCTTTACAAAATAAACGAGTACTGGTAAGAGATTGACTGAATTAAACCCTTGTTTTTAATACTTTTGCTATTATCATTTGGAGGCGTAAGGATTGGGCATCTCCAACCCAATCTGGGCTTACTTCTGGAGGCTTAGGCAAGTTTCTTACTCACTGTACTATCTCTAGCTTCAGTAGAAACATTTTAAAATCAAAGATAAAATAGAAGTAGAAAGGAGTAATTCATTTTCTATGGCATAAGCCTATTTTCTCAAAGGTTTTAATATGTAAAGTAAGATTTTTATTGTGTAAAAGGTAAAAGGTAAAGGCCCTCCCGTTGATCGTCGATTTGCTCGAGCGGGCCCAGTAACGTCTCCATTGGAGACTTTGTTGTTACTGTGTCTGGCATCTCGAATACTCTCGGTAGCTTGCCGGGCTCTCCGAGAGGGGCGGAGGAATCGAACTCGGGTCGGCCATGTTGGCCGCTTGTAAGGCGAACGCCCTACCCAAAGTTTTAATAAGATTTTAATTAAGGATTGAACTATTTATTGGGACTGCATGCACACAAAAGTTTAGTATTAGTTACATTACTCTTAAATACCAAGCAAAAATAGCAAATGTATTAAGCTTTTATTTAGGGGGAGTCAGCAAATTATGGCCTATTTGTTAATTCTGGCATACTTTTTTTTTTTTTTTTTTGCTAAACAAAATTTTATTAGGACACAGACATTTCCCTGGTTTACAAGATGTCTATAATTACTTTTGAGTTACAACAGCATGATAGCCTTCATTTTGCTATAGAAATATTGTTCACAGCCAAGGCTCTTCTCTGTATCTACCAATATATATCTATAGTTGAAAATTTATGAGGAACTTAATAACCATTTAGAAATACTTTGTGATATTGAGAATTACCATTTTCAGGAGTGCCTTCCTGTAATAAGTATTTTCTTTTATAGTTACCAAGTTTGCAGGGTAGTCTAGAAGAGGATGATATTCTGCCAGAAATGGACGGAAATTCAACATCTCCATCATCAATTATCTTTCCATTGGCAAAAACTCCTACATGTCAGCATGTCAGTCCTAGTATGCTAGCCACTGTAAAGAGGTAAATATTGATGCATATAATGCTTTTATTCTTTTCACTGGCATTTAATGTAAAAAGCCGTCTTGGTAATGCTGGGACACAGCTCACACTTTATATAAAAATCCCCAATGGATCAAAGTTTTACATATAAAAAATTAAACTATAAATGAAACTATAAACCTAAAGAAACTATGGAAAATTATTTTCTATTAGTGAATGTCTTTGTGATACAAGACCTCTTAATGTCAAGAATGATGAAGTTAGCTGTATTTTAAAAATGGAAATTTTGCCTAGTACCTATTACCATTAATAACTGAAGCACAAAACAATAATTGAATAAAAAATATAGGAGATTAATCACAGGAAAAAGCACCTCAAGACTCACAAATAAATCTCTGGAAGAGAGCAACATAGAGCAACATGCTGCAGAGATGCCTCTTGACCCTGCACCAGGCTGTCAAATCCAGAGGCAACCCGCAAGGGGGTGGGTGAATTCCCCTCCCTGCCCCAACAAAGCCCCAGCAACCGAAAACCTCCAGAACTCAATTGTCACCACAACTCATGGCCAATCTCCACAGGCTCAGATGAACCTCATCCATGAGTGAATCCGCTGAAAAACCCAGGTACTCAGGACTTGTGACTGAAATCGCCAGGCTCATACAGAGTCTGGAGTAGGTGGACCCCCCCCCCCCATCTCTCTGTGCTTCCATTAGCCTGACAGTCATGCCCACGAACCGTACCATATGAGCTCATTAACAGCCATGATCCAGAGATTCCAATTAAATCTCTCAGAAGGAAGTGACACAGAATAACACACTACAGAAATGCCTCTGAACCCCACACCATGATGTTTCATCCAGGGCAAGCCGGTGGGGAGGGGGAGAGTTCCCCTGCCCACTGTAACAGTCTTGGCGGCTGAAAACCTCCAGAACTCAGTCACTGCTCACAACCAAACTTCACAGGCTCAACAAGCCTCATTCATGAGTGCATCTTCTGATAAAGCCAGGTGTACAGGAATTGTGACAAATCTCGAGGCTTACACAGTCAGGAGTGGGCGACCACTTCCCCATCTCCCTGGGCTTCCAATAGCCTGGCAGTCACATCCACAAACTGGCTCTGGCACCATATAAGCTCATTACCAGCCATGACCCAAAGATCGACAAATATCTCTTGAAAGAGAGCAACATGGCAACACACTGCCAAATGCCTCCAGATCCCATACTTAGCTTTCAATTAAATTAACCTCAGCTGTATAACTGTATTTAAAATATTAGAATTCCTGGAAAATGTGGCCACATGACATCTCATGTTCCAAGCACACAAGGCTCAACCTTTAACAACATGGTAGTAATCTCTTTCACAAGGGGTTAATGGATCCAGGGTGAAATATAACAATCTTCACATACTTTAAGGAGACTTTGTTCAGATATTTTTTTTTTTGGCCTTTTGGGTCACACCCAGCAATAGTCGGGAGGACATATGAGACGGTGGGGATCGAACTCGGGTCAGCCGCGTGCAAGGCAAATGGCCTACCCGCTGTGCTATTGCTCCGGCCCCTCAGATCATTTTTGGTGAATTATTTATAAAAAGCAATACAAATAAGTTATGTCCTGCTTTGGGGGCAGGGTTTGGGAGTCGGGGTGGAACCATTCAAAATATGATGGTGGGATTGGTGTTGGAATACTAAATGTAACTGTGAAGAACTTTATAAAAGTAAAATTAATTTTTTTAAATGCACATCCTACAAACTAACAAAAGCCATTCCATATAACACTAGTGCAAAAGTAAATTAGTGCAACCTATGCAGAAAACAATTTAGCAATATCTGTCAAGGTCAAGGGTAAAGTGCTTGTTTCGCATGCATTTGCAGTTAAGGACCCTGGTTTGAATTCCAGAATGATATGTTCCCCTGAGCACTTCTCCTGTGCCTCTTCTCCAACCCCAAAACACTTACCTAATTTGTTCACAAATTTTTGTTAAGGTAATTTTTAAGAAAATATGAGATTTGGGTCTATCCATATATACATTTGTCTGTACAGTTATGTTTATTACATAATCCTTAAATTTGGAGGTATCCTAAATGTCTACTAATAAGCTATGAAATGTTACAATTAAAAATCATGTACATTTCCATAGGCACACATTTTTTATTTTTTTTATATTTATATTTATATTTAATATTTAAATGGGGGAAATGAATTTTTGGAGTATTGAAACCATTTAATTTTGAAACCATTTAATTTTGTCAGTTGTTCAACCTGTGGATAAAGGTATATACATTAATGTTGACTCTAAATTATTTTGTATTGAAACAGGGGTGATTGTGATAAATATGTTTTTCACATGCAAAAAACTCATAAAAATAAAGGTGGCATTGTCTGGGGCAATGTCAAGAAAAAAACAGTAAGTATGTTTACCTTTTATTCTTTTTTCCTTTGCTAGTGACCTCAAACTGAAATGGAGTGGGGGGTCAGGGTCACCTTAGCACATGTGTCATCTTAAATTAATAAGCTCATGGTCTCAAGCTTGCCCTGGGCTTTTCCTATACCAATGCACCACCTTCCAGATTCCTCACAGCTGATGTATCAGGACTACCTCACACATTTAGGCTCTAACAGGGTTGAGCTATCTTAGACTTGCCATCCACTGCACATTGTAATTTGAATAACTTAAATCCAAATAGCAGTGTTCTAGACAATTTTTACCTCAGATGTCCTAAAATTAAATAGTTTTAAAAGAATAACCACTTAGAATCATGTTAAGTGAAATGAGTCAGAAAGAGCGGGATAGACATAGAAAGATTGCATTCATCTGGGGAACATAAAGTAACAAAATAGGAGACTGACACCCAAGAATGGCCGAGATTAGTACCAGGAATTTTGCTCCATGGCTTGGAGGCCAGCCACACATGCTAGGGGAAAAGGCAGCTCCGATAGAGAAGGGAGCACCAAATAAAGGGTATTGGGAGGATCCTTCCAAGATGGGAGAAGCATGCTGAAAGTAGACTATAGACCGAACATGATTGCCACTCAATGCCTCTTTTGCAAACCACAAAACCCAAAAGGAGAGAGAGAACAGAGGGGAATGTCCTGCCACAGAGCCAGGGGGAGATGGGGGGATGGGGTGTGGGAGGGATACTAGGATCCATGATGGTGGGAAATGGGCACTGGTGCAGGGATGGGTATTAGATCATTGTATAATTGAGACCCAAGCACAAAATTTGTAAGTCTACAACTGTACCTCATGATGTCTCACTAATAAAAATTTAAATAAATAACCACTTATATGGGGCAAAATAAAAGTACCTTAGCTGTTGGATGACAGAGCTTACCATTAGATTATGGTTATTTCTTCCTTTATCCAGGCTGAAATATTTATATTGCATAGCACAGCGAGAAGGGCATTTGCCCTATCTGGGTTTGATTCCTCTATCCCTCTCAGAGAGCCCGGCAAACTACCGAGAGTATCCCACCCGCATGGCAGAGCCTGGCAAGCTCCCCGTGGCGGATTTGATATGCCAAAAACAGTAACAACAAGTCTCACATGGAGATGTTACCGGTGCCTGCTCGAACAAATGAATGAACAATGGGAAGACAGTGCTAGAGTGCAACCCATTAAAGTATAATTCTTCTCAAAGTCTGTAAAATGAATCTTGTGAATATAAAATCACATCCAATCTTTACTGACTTCATTTGTCCTTATGAAATAGCATAGAGATTTTTGTTGAAAATCTGCCTGGATTAAATTCTTCAAAAAACATTCTCTATTCCATAATTGACCATCTAAGCAGATTCCTATGTACTATTTCTTTGACTCTTTTTTCCCTCTAGTTTCACATTTTTACGAGTGTAAATTTTGGTTTGTTGCAAAAATAGCATCATGCCAGGTTCATCCCTCTCAGTACAATTATTAATCATTTTTACTTTAATATTCTTTATCTTAATTTTCATTGTGCAATGCAATTATCATTATGGTTGACTTTAATCATTTTATAGTTTCAAGCACCAGGGTGTGGAGTTTTGGTTTTCAGGGGCAGGAGAGCCACATCCTGAAGTGCTCAAGGGTTGCTGCTCACTCTGCTCAGGAGTAATGTAGATTCATAAAAGAACATAAACTTGTCATTGGATCTTTTGTCTTCAAAAAAGCAAATTTCCAGGAGAGCTCTGAGTAACTAAATATTGTTACAGTAGTATGATTCAAAGTACTCTGTATACAAGGGATGTCATTTTAACTGTTGGAGTAAATATCTAATTATTAAAATAAACTCTTGCAGGTTGAAACCGGTTTTTCAGCACCCAGAAGAAAAACCATATTTAATAAAGGTAATACATATCATTCCTTTATAATGTCTTTATTTACATGATTAATTGTTCTCAAGTAGAAAGACCTACCAGTTGGTTTTATACGGTCATTTTCAATTTCATAGATTTTAGTAATAATTTTTTAAATTAAATATTTCTACAGAATTGGGAGAAAACTCTGGCATTGGAAAACTTTTCACGGATGCTATGGAATCTTTAGATGAAGAGGAGAAAGATTATTATTTTTCAGACTCTGATTCTACACAGTAAAAATGGATATATAGCTACAGTTTTCACTCAAGAAGCAATGTAACTGTCTCTTTACTTGAAGTAAATACACGTGTTTTGAAATTTTGCTTTTATATCAGATTACTGCTGTATGATTTGCAAAAGTTCATATTCCCATGATGTAGTTTCAATTGAAACTGATTTCCTCTCATAGTCTTTGTATTATTGTAAGATAACTTCCATTGCGGTGATTTACTTAAAATATAAGAAAATTTGTTAGATAATTGTACATTTGTTTTTATAGTAATAAAACTTAGATGCTTCTGTATGATCATCTCATGTCTGCATTTTTGTTTTTGTGCTCCAACAATACTCCTGGCTCTGTACCAGATTGCTCCCTGGTAGCACCTAAGAGATCATATGTGGTACCTCATTCAAACAGTGGTTTATATTGGGTATCAAACCCAAGGCTTCATACATGCTAGGCAAGCACCTACTTTCTATACAATCTTTTTGGCCCCTTATCAGTTTACTTTAAAATCATGTCCCAAACAAATTAAGTTTTTAAAGCAAGATTATTGCTCAGCAATAGATCACTTGCCTTGTATGTATGAAACCTTGGGTTTGATATCCAGCATATAGAAGAAGTGTTATTTTCAAGGAAGTGTTACATTTCATTTGGGAAAGAATAATAAACTGTACTTGTGGCTGCTGAATTTATGAAACTTTACATGTATTACTACTTATTCAATACCACTTGGTATATAATGTCAGAGTTGACCTAATGTTTAAATGGCATGTTTTCATGTTTCTTAAACTTTTTTTTTTATTTGATTTTGGGGCCACATAGGCTGTGCTCAATGCCCTCATGTTTGATGTGTCTTTTCTTGGTAGCCTTTCTTAAAACTTGTGACATCTGTATGAAACAAATATATTGTATTTTGGTTTTTTACTTTAATATTGGGTAAAGTCAGAGAATAGATTCAATTGCTCTTTAAAACTATATTTACATTTATAAAAATAATTTGGAAGTCTAGACAAACTTTCACATATTCTCATTATAAGAAGCCTGGTGAATATATATAGCATGCCATAATAAACACCGCTTTACTTCATATAGTATTTTTAGAAATAAAGTTTTAGCTTATTCTACCTTTTTTTTTTTTTTTGCTTTTTGGGTCACACCCGGCAATGCTTAGGAGTTACTCCTGGCTTTGCACTCAGGATCACTCCTAGCAGGTGCTTGGGGGACCATACAGGATGCTGGGAATCGAACCCAGGTCAGCTGCATGCAAGGCAAAATGCCCTATCCCGCTATGCTATTGCTCCAGCCCCCTACCATTCAGTTTTAAATTTTGACATTGGATTTGTTCTTAGAGTTAATTTACCACTCCACTTAGGTTATCTAAGTATAGTTTGCTCTTATAATTTTAGGTTTTTTCTTAAAGTAAATGAAAACAGAAGAAATATTTACATTTTGTTTAACAATTTAGTACCTATCAATGATTTTATATTTATACAGCACTGATAAAAATACAAGGTGTTGTTATTATTATTTTTTTTGGTTTTGGGGCGATCCGTCAGTAGTGATCAGGGCTTATTCCTGGCTCTGTACAGGGCATCAAATCCAGGTCGCCCAGATCAGATTCCTAAGCTATTAATAGTGTCACATGGTAACAATGGATCACAAAATCCTCATCTGCATTAAAAACTCATCTAAACAAAAAGCAGATATTTTGTATGTGATGTTTTAAAAACAATAAAATCATTTAGGCATGAGTTCACACTAACAGATTATAACTGGACTTGATGGGGATACCTGTATTTTAGATAAGCATGTTCATTTAAATCTATTTAACTGAAAGGGAGGGCTCAAGTGATAGAGCATGCACGTACCTTGCTGTTCAAGCTCCTGGGTTCAATTCCTGGTAATACCCCACCCCCATAACAACTGGGGAAACATTTTTTTCTACTTCAGTACTTCCTGGAGTTCTCTCATAACACACCTACCACCTACACCTTATCCAACATGTTTATAATCTTCGAACGTTTAAAATGTTCTAGGAAATCCAATTTGTATGCAGAAAAAAGCATTTATAGTAGTCAGATACGCCTATTATTTTGACAACTGACAACAGTAACAATCTCTGGAAAAATTTCAAATATTATTTCTAACTTTGATTTTTTATTGCATTGTTTTCATAATCTAGTCAATCAAAATAATTATGGAACTTTTAGTTTTAAAAACACATAATTCATATAAATAAAAATGTACACTATACAAAAGAGATATTTACATACTTTAAACAAATAAACAGAAACCACTACGGTAAATGCAAAAGTGCACTGTGAAAGCTGTTGAGAGCTGTGATTGGACCAGTCTGCTTGTGCTTCAGACGTCAGGCAAACCTGGGCTTTGGTTAAGCTGTATGTCAAAAACAGAGTTAATATATCTATAGATCTCCTCAGCCTTTTGATGAGTTACTTGTGCATACTTGGAGATTTCTTGAGGTGAGCTGAAAAACAAGGAAATCATTACTCTTGAGCTTTTTAACTTAGAAAATTCAGTATTATCTTACTGAAACACTAGAGACAAGGATGTAAGTCAGTACTATAGCGTTCATTCATGTTTAAGATCAGATGTTTGGTCCTCCCAATTTCTCTACCCATTAGAAAACAAAACATTTAACTTGTCTGTAAGCATTTCACGTCCTACTAACAGTTTAAATAAATAAAAGTACATTTCTTATATTTTAAAGCATAATAATTTCACCATATTTGGGTGTGCATTGGGGGAATGGGGAAGGTGTTGGTCACACCCAGCAGTGTTAAGAACATAATCCTGGCTCACTGTTCAAGGGACCATATGTGGTGCTGGGTATAGGACCAGGGGACTATCATGCTTGCTTGCAAGGAAAGTGCCTTAATTCCCATACTATTTGGGCTCCAATTTCAATATCTTAAATGGGCTTTAAGTTTAAAATTAACCTATTTTCTAAAATATTGCTTTCAAGCAATAAAAGAATTGCACATGAGTAAAATTTCAGCTTGAAAATTTTCAGGTTACAGAAGTAAGTGGCCCTGAAATGTCAGAATTCAAGATTAAATTAGTATGTTTCTCATAGGGTGTTCCTGAAAAGTTCCTGAAAAGCAATGCCTATTTTTTTTCTTTAATGTCCTTAGTTTCTTGCACTATTAGATGTTGGCAAGCAGTCTTCATGAAATAATAAAACAGACACTAGGCTTTGTTATTGCGGTGGGGGGTGGAAGGAGGAGTTGGGAGGAAATGTATAGTGGTTCAGTTGAAAGGCCTGAGGGTGTGGTGTTCTCGGACCCTGCAGTGAGGGGGATGACTGGCCACCCCACAGTGCTCAGTGGCCTCTCGGGCTGCACCTGAAGATGCTCAGGGACTATGTGGTGGCAGGAATAGCCATTGTTTGGGGACATGCCCTATGACGTACGGTACTATCTATCACCCAGTGACTATACGTCTTTAAAAATTATAATAAAACGTTTCTAAGATTTAAATTTAACCATCCAAAATGTTAGACATACCTGTTAATCATCTTTTTCACCGATGAAAACTGGTGACACATATTTAGTGCAGTTACATAGCTTACATTGGGAATACTTAAATAAAATTGAAGTGCATCAGATTTAATACTGTTCACTGTTGAAATATAAATACCAACATTCTTCCTTTGTTCCAATAAAGATAGTTCCTTTAATAAATCTGCTGTTTCTTCTTGTGAGGAACTGAAAAGAATTCGGACTCCTGCACCAATTAAGTTAGTGAGCAGACTGTCATAGCTCTTTGTTCTCCTAAACATCTTGGATGAGTCTCCTAAAAGTTTATTAGAACACAAATCTTAGTAACAATTTACGTGTAATCAATAGTACCACGTATGTTGAAATTTCAACATCTATATCGCATTGAGCAAACTGCCACCTATTAAAGAGAAATCCTACGATACCTGAGAAAAACCAGAGGAACTCTGAGTATAGTATCTGAGCTGTAATTAACACAAGGTAATTGGCTGGAGAGAGGTTCTATCACTAAAAAGTTCACTCATTAAGGCCAAGAAATTACTATTCATTCCCAAAATGCTAGGGGCCGGAGCAATAGCACAGCGGTAGGGCGTTTGCCTTGCACGCAGTCAACATGGCCGACCCGAGTTCGATTCCTCCGCCACTCTCGGAGAGCCCGGCAAGCTACCGAGAGTATCTCGCCCGCATGGCAGAGCCTGGCAAGCTCCCCGTGACGTATTCGATATGCCAGACACAGTAACAACAAAGTCTCCAATGGTGACGTTACTGGGCCCGCTCGAGCAAATCGATGAACAACAGGAGGGCCTTTACTTTTTACTTACTTACTTCCAAAATGCAAATTTTAAGTAATGACTTAACTGATACAAACTTATGTATTTATTCCAAGAGTAAATATCTATATGCTCATTTTCATATCAACTCAATTCTTGCCTATTAATTTACTCCCCAACCTTTTCTCATTATTTCGCTTTCATCCATTTTTAGACATCATGATTTCCAAAGTTGTTTATAATAGTTTCAGGTCTACAATGTTCCAGCCCCAATCCCATACCAGTGCAACCTTTGTTCCAAATTTATTTGGTTTATAAAGATTTTCTGGTAAAGAAGAAATTATAGGATTGGGAAGAAAGTTCAAGTGTCCTGAATTCAATTTCCAGCACCCACAGGATGCTCCTGATGGCCTCTAAGTTCAGCATTGGTTTGGCCAAGCATTGAGCTGCCAGACCCATAATGCCAGGTCAAGCATCACTGGGAGTGCCTCTGCCCCCCACTCCACCTGAGGCCTGACAGCACTGCAGGTGGCCTCTGTTCTTTAAAAAAAAAAATTTAAAAAAAACATGAAATGGGGTGGGAGCAACAGTACAGAAGGTAGGATATCTGCCTTACACATTCCCAAGCTCCTTTTGATCCTGGCATCCCAGATAGTTTCCCAAATCCCACCAAGGGTGATCCCAGAGTGTAGAGCTAGGAGTAAGCCCTTAGCACCACTGGGTGTGGCCATATGGAAAAAGGGTCTACATCACTAATTATCAGGAAAATGAAAATCAAACCAATGAGATACTGTATCACACCAGAAAATGGCACTCATCAAGCAGAATAACCAGTTTAGGCATGGGTATGTGGGGAAAAGGACTGTCATTCACTGCTGGTAGGTCCAGCCTTTTAGAAAATCAATATAGTAATTGTCAAAAA